TCCAATATGATTCCTTCACTGATCTACTTCTCCTTCGGTGTTAACACCTGATCAATCTTTAGAACAAAAGAACAACTGTTTGAAGTCCAACCCCCCCAATACTCTGAGACACTCATTGTTAAACTCATGGGGAATACCCCAAGTTAAATTTTGTTAAAATTACATGAATGCATTTTAATATGTGCTAGTAGGCCAGCATTAAAGGATACGGTGGCTCAGTGGCTAAGACACTGAGCTTGTCAATCTGAAAGGTTGGCAGTTTGGCGGTTCAAATCCCCAGCGCCTCATAACAGAGTGAGCTCCCATTGCTTGTCCCAGTTTCTGCCAGCCTAGCAGTTCGAAAGCATGTAAAAATGCAAGTAGAAAAAATAGGGACCACCTTTGGTGGGAAGGGAACAGCATTCTGTGCCATTCATTTTCTACCCAGTGTACAAGATAGAATTTGAAACTCTAAAAAGACAACAGTGGAACTATGAAACTTAACAAGTTGCCACCGCTACTCCAAACTGCCCTGAACACAAGTTGACCGACAAGAGTATAAAAAAAATATTTATATTTCAGTATGAAGTTGAAAGGTGGATAATGTCTATAGAATTAAAACGGATGCAATGCCAACGTTTGTGTTTCTATTCTTTGATCCTAGGATGAAAGCCAGTGGCTTCAGAACCATTGTATGAAGATGGGAGACGCTTACATTATCGTCTATTCGGTGACCGATAAAGTCAGCTTTGAGAAAGCGTCTGAATTGAGGATTCAGCTGCGAAGGGCACGGCAAATGGAAGATATTCCTATCATTCTTGTTGGAAACAAAAGTGACCTGGTTCGATCACGGGAAGTCTCTGTAGACGGTAAGAGATGATTCCACCCTAAACTCAATCACTGAGCTTGTTGATCAGAAAAGTCAGCTGTTCGGCGGTTCGAATCCCTAGCGCCGCATGATGGAGTGAGCTCCCGTTACTTGTCCCAGCTTCTGGTGAGATTCAACCTGCCAGATTGCAGTCAGCCTGCAGTACTGTACTCTAACCACTGTGCCATGTAACCATGGCTATTTGTAGGCCTGTGGATTTATGGGATGGGAGCAAAGAACAAGAACAGGTGGGTGGGTGGGAAATCTGTGTGCATTTGTGTGTTAAGAACAGTAAACAAATGGAATTTCTTATCAGCCACAAGGATGGTTGCTATGTGTTCCCAGCTCATAATGCACCTTTGAATGATAGTGGAGAACTGAACCATGAACCTTTTGAAGTGCAGCTTCTCAGTGGCTGGGAAATATTTTGCCCCTAGAAAATAATCTTCATGGCCCTGTCTCAATTTTACTGAGTGGTGGCTCAGTGACTAAGACGCTGAGCTTGTCAACCAGAAAGGCTGGCAGTTCGGTGGTTCAAATCCCTAGTGCCCTGAAAGGGAGTGAGCTCCTGTTACTTGTCCCAACTTCTGCCAAGCAGTTTGAAAGCACATAAAAATGCAAGTAGAAAAATAGGAATCACCTTTGGTGGGAAGGTAATAGTATTCCGTGAGCCTTTGGCGTTTAGTCATGCCGGCCACATGACCACGGAGAACGTCTTCGGACAGCACTGGCTCTTTGGCTTTGAAACGGAGATGAGCACTGCCCCCTAGAGTGGGGAACGACTGGTACATATGTGCGAGTGAAACCTTTACCTTTTACCTCTTGTGCCATGTGCCACACTAGCTGGTCATATGAGTCTCATAACCAACTGAGCCAAGTTGGGAAAAGTTACTCAGGCCAATATGAATGGCCGTTTTTTGTAGGTCTAGGAATCTAGCAAGTTACCTTAGAGTAATTTAAGACTATTTATTTATTAGTCAACTATAGATAAGAACCCATCTCACAAATAAGTGACTCTGTGTAGTGTATAAAGCCAACAAAAACCCAGTTAAATTAATAAATACAGGTAGTTCTTGAATGATAACTTCAAATGAGCTCAAAAATTATCTTGCTAAGCGAGACAGTTAAGTTTTGCTCCCTTTTTTTTCTTGACACATTTTTAAGTGACTTCACTGCAGTTGTGAAGTTAGTAACACGGTCGTTAAGTGAATCTGGCTCCCCCCCTTGACTTTTGCTTGTCAGAAATGATCCCACCAACCCTGGGACCCTACAACTATCATAAATATATGCCAATTTTGATTATGCGATGACGATGCCACAACCTTTGTAAGTGTGAAGAATGATCACGTCACTTTTTTTTCAGTGCCGTTGTAACTTTGAATGGTCACTTAACTGAACTGTTGTAAGTTGGGGACTACCTGTAGTATAACAGTCATCATTCTAAAAATGTTAAAAAGCTATAACTGACAAAGCTTTAAAAAGAAGAAATATAGGCAAATAGATGTTAATAAGAGAGCCACTTCAATAATTCACCAGTTCCCTGGGATCTCCATGCCTGACACCCCAGCGGGGTTTTGAGAGACCTCAAGAGTGATGAAGGCAGCCTTACTTCCACAAAGTGGGCCCCACAGCAGAAAAGACCTGAGCTCCCCCCAAATATGGCTCCCTAGCTGATAAGATTACATTGATCTCTAGTCTGGAATTGTCAGTAGAGGTAGTAGTTCATTTAGTGACTGTTCAAAATTACAATGGCACTGTTTCACACTTAAGACCTTTGCAGCATCCCCATGGTCAAAACTTGGATGCTTGGCAACTGGTTCATTTTTATGACGGTCGCAGTTGTCCCGGGATACTGGGATCCACTTTTGCGACCTTCTGACAAGCCAAGTCAACGGGGAAGGCAACTGCAGTGATTCACTTAGCAGTAGTGGCAAGAAAGGTCGTAAAATGGGAGGGCAAAGCTCACTTAACCAGTGTTTCACTTAGCAACATAAATGTTGGGCTCAGTTGTGGTCATACGTTGAGGACTACCTGTATTGAATGGCCATAGCTGTAGTTATTTCAGGGAACAGTTTTCCCCCCTGGAGATTGAAGTTCTGGAGTTCTCTTTCTGGAGATTGAGGTTCTGGAGTTCTCTTTCTGGAGATTGAGGTTCTGGAGTTCTCTTTCTGGAGATTGAGGTTCTGGAGTTCTCTTTCTGGAGATTGAAATTCTGGAGTTCTCTTTCTGGAGATTGAACTTCATGGAAAACAGGCGTTCCACCTCTGAGATACAGCTGCAAGAAANACTAGGTAACATCATCAGTGATAGTAAGTGCTAGCAAACCCCATTCTTTACTAGCATTGATGAGGTTCCCTAGTTGGGTAATGAGCTTGGTTGTTTTCTTGAAGATGTTTCATTAGCCAACTAGGTAACCTCATCAGAATAGAATAGGATAAGACTAGGAATGGAATGGAATAGAATAGAATAGAATAGAATTCTTTATTGGCTAAGTGTGATCAGACATACAAGAAATTTTTCTTTGAGAGCGTATGCTCTCATTGTACATAAAAGAAAAGATACATTTGTCAAGAATCATAAGGTTCAACACTTAATGATAGTCGTAGGGTACAAATAAGCAATTAAATCATCTATCGGTGCTAGTAAGTGCTAGCAAACCCCTTACTAGCACTGATGAGTTGCTAGTTGGATAATGAAACGTCTGCCTTGGAAATAACCAGAGTGCACCAAGGACCCTTCCTTTCAACCCCGAGCTACAAGTATTCTCCTTTGTTGGTACAATTTTTGCGTCCCTGGCATCATCATCTCCTCTGCCCACATCGTCTTGAAATTAGTGGTGCCCATTTCCTGCCATGTTGAAGCTGGCATCAGGCAAAGGTTTTATTCTGAGCCAGGAGTAGACACGACTTAGTCTTTAAAACAGTGAAATCCCCAAACACAGAAAAGGAAATCCAGCTTTGCCCGCTGTGCATCATTGCTTCCTTTACTGAACCACTGGACATGTAAAACATACTAAGAAATTCACATTGTAGTTTCTAAATATTTTAGGAGACTTCTTCCCCTAGCTGAGGCAGCCTTGGGTACCCTCCAGATGTGTGGACTTCAACTCCCAGAACCCCCCAACCTTGAATTCCCATTGCTGGGAATTCAACTTCACACATCTGTTGGATGCCCATGTTGTGGAGCATGACACATGACCCTGATAATCCTCTGATTTAAATTACTTTTTAAAATATTCCTTTAAAACTAAGAAAAAAATATTTTGGAGAGGCTTCCATCAATTCCAAATAATGAAAATATATATTTTTTAAATGATTATGTACCTATTGATACTTTGAAAAGAGGTAAAATGTATTGAGAGTGGCATGGATCTTTATTTCATCACATATCATTTATATTTCTGCATTATCCCTGCTTTACCCAGCCCATCCAAACTTAAGAAAATATATTTAAAAGTAAATCCGGTGTAACCTTCATTCCATGTGGTTTTTCCTATCATCCCCTGTGTCAGAATGGTTTACAGATAATTGAAAGCAGCTGTAGGGTTTTTATGGACAATATCATTTGCTCTAATGTTCTTAGGCTCAATTAAGCTCAAACGTTTTGTGTTGCAATTCATCGGACAGCTGAAACACACCAGCTTGAGCGCAAGTTCAAACGTTTTGAACTTTTTAAAGAAGTTAAATTAAGTCTACAATCTTGCATCTGTCTCTATTTCTGACATCCATGCTGTCCACTGCGTTTATTTTGTATTTAGGGTTAGGTTTCATTTGGGCAGTGGTATCACTGGATCAGACACCCCTGCATTCTCCAAAATTTACTTGGCTTCAATAAGTGCCATAGAAAATATAAACAAACAATATAGTGAGGTTTTACATTTATGAGTTGAAGTTTTAGCAAATTGGGTGCAATATTTCCAATAACTCTACCAAGCAAAATTCAAGGGGGTAGGTGGGAGGAAGAAATGTGTAGGAGAAGAGAAAGATATTTTTTATTAATTATTGGAAACTTGAAAACTTAACTTTATTTTTTAACATTTCAGTTGGGTTTGTACAGCCTGGATTTGGTGTTTTTTTGTGTGAGAATATTACTTTTCCTTTGTGCAAACTAAACGTTCTGTCCTAACTTTTCCTTGATTTGTCTTTCAGGCAATACATATGACAGATCTATTATAGTTGACGGGGAAGAAGCATCTCTTGTGGTGTTTGACATATGGGAGCAGGTAAAGATTTACTTTTTCAAATATTTGATTTGTAATTATTTGCAGTTATCCCCCTTTTCGTAGCTTATAACATTTTTTAAAATCTACTATTTTGTGTGGAAGGTCAGTGATTTGGACTGATTTCTTGTGAAATCACGGTTTTAAGGTTTGTGACTAAATATGTGAACTGTCCCATTGTGTCTCAATTTGGGCTTCAGCAAGTGCAAGATTAAATATAAACAGATTAAGATTTATTTTTAGTTACAACGAAGCCTCCCATCTCAACATCTTTGCTGAGATGGGAGGCTACAGAAATGGAATAAATACGAAGTTAGGATCTCAATTTTTGCTGATCTTGTAATATCCATCTTCAAGTCTTGCTTAAGATCTATAGAACCTTGGGTTCCAATATGATTCCTTCACTGATCTACTTCTCCTTCGGTGTTAACACCTGATCAATCTTTAGAACAAAAGAACAACTGTTTGAAGTCCAACCCCCCCAATACTCTGAGACACTCATTGTTAAACTCATGGGGAATACCCCAAGTTAAATTTTGTTAAAATTACATGAATGCATTTTAATATGTGCTAGTAGGCCAGCATTAAAGGATACGGTGGCTCAGTGGCTAAGACACTGAGCTTGTCAATCTGAAAGGTTGGCAGTTTGGCGGTTCAAATCCCCAGCGCCTACAAATAGCCATGGTTACATGGCACAGTGGTTAGAGTACAGTACTGCAGGCTGACTGCAATCTGGCAGG